AAACACAGTGTACTGTCATTTAAAGACTTTATATGTGCTCCATGTATATATGTTAATGTAATATAATATAAAAAATAATGTGTTTATTGTTAAAATATGGGATATATAATACCGTAAACCTCTGACTATAAGCCCTGGGCTTATATTCTTTTGTAAGTGATTTTTGATGGGCTTAGGGGGGGGGGGCTTATATGCACAGGGGCCTTATACATGGACGATCAATTGTGTTAGTAATAAACAAGTCAGTCATAAACAGGAAAATAAACATGTATTAATAACACACTCCATTAACATAGTAAGCTATAAAGACAATGACAGTGTTTCAAATATCGTTCTCTGCTATATTAAAAGACAATGTCAATGTTAAATAACATAGTGGGATACTGGGCTTATATTCAGGGGGCTTATATTCAGGGGACTTATATTCAGGGGGCTTATATTTGGGGGGGGGGGACTTATATTTGGGGGGGCTTATATTTGGAATGAGGTGAGCATTATATTCAGAGGTTTACAGTATACAGTTCAAAAAAGCTTGTATTTTCTTGTCACAGACACACATTTCTGGGTGCATATAAAACAGCGGCTTATACGTCAGGTTCTCATGTCGATCCAATGGTAATTTGATATCGCTGCCATCACCATAATAATAAATATAGTGTAGCACAGAATGGCCTTGTCTCATACTTTGACATCATGCATGCAGAAATGCCTTGGTCATTCATGTAGCCAGCGTGGCCGGCTCTATTGAAGGAGAGCCTGCCCGAAAGCCCTAGTCAAATTGATGACTCTCGGCAGCCAGCCGCCGAGAATTGTGATTGGCTGAATTTACGTTGACGACAGTTTGATTGACATGTTACGCTAATTTATTCAAATATTTAAAAATAAATACAGTAAAAACAAACGGCATCGCTATATTAAAGTGTAAACCTGTCGGCTAAAATATAAAATTCAAAAGACAAAGTGTAAAATGTATAACATATACCGGTATCTAAACAGAATACGGCAAGCCATACTGCTATTACTGCATATGTCGTATGATTTTACCGTATGGTCACTATAGTATATAGAGTATAAAACCCTGGCTGTCCTTGCCTTGTTTATATTTTGCTGGCTGGCAAATTACGATTATATAAAACAATACATTCCCCATTGTGTTTAATACACCATAATAATACGAAGCTTTCTTTGGAGCTTTTAAAATACATTTGCCTGCCAACGTGTATAACACGGGAAGGGCTGTATTTAAACTTTTCCTAAGTCATTATATTTAGTACTGCAATATTTATAACTGTAGTACAGCCATACAGGTGCAAAGCATAATATAATTTTGAACGGTCTTCGTCTACTACTAATTTCCAGACAAAGTCGAAGGGCCTTCGCTCGAAATGCTGACGTTTTGCTTGTATTTCCAGGCAGTTGAATCGCTATCCATCTATTGTAAAAAGTTTATTGAAAGCATGTAGCGCAGGCTATAGTAAATATGCAACAATTAAAATTTTAAGTCATCAATTTATACAAAACTATTTCGAGTGGGCGGTGTTAATATGGAATATTAACTAAGTGGGCGGCATCAATTTGACTAGGGCTTTCGGGCAGGCTCCAATCTCGTTCCCCGAGCATGCCCGTTCGCAGGTTAAGGGTGGCATGGCTCTGGAGAAATCAAATTGATTCACGTTGAATTTCCAACGTGAGTTCTACGCATGCTCAGCAATTGTTGCAAAATATAAATAAAGTATTTAGAATTTCTCGTCGAAAATTTGATACTTTTTACGCTGAAATCGGATTGAAAACAACTACAAATTATGAGGAAATATGTACGAAAGCTTCGGATTGATAGGGATACAACTACCTGAAAAATACAAGGAGAACTTCGACGTTTCAAGCGAAGGCGCTTCGACTTGTCACTTGTACTGTTAGTGTTTATATACATCGTACTTCACCTATACTGATAAATCTCCTCAAGAATGAGTATTGTATATTTTTGTGCTTTAAAATTTACATTTAACTCTCTTGTCAGAATTTATGGTATACGTAGTGTTAAGTATGACAGTATAAAAGGTCAAGTACTATATATACAAACATTAACAGCACAACTCGAAGCGCCTTCGCTCGAAACGTCAAAGTTCTCCTTGTATTTTTCAGGTAGTTGTATCCCTATCAATCCGAAGCTTTCGCACATATTCCCTCCAGAATTTCTAGTTGTTTTCAATTCGATTTCAGTGTAAAAAAGTAGCAAATTTCCGACGAGAAATTCCAAATACTTTGTTTATATTTTGCAACAATTGCCAATTAGTAAATTGGGGCTTTCTCGAGGTATGAACAACTGAATTGTAGTAACTGGTTAATACTTTACATTGTACCCATGATTTCATTTGTTCATACTCCTATAAGGAGTACTGAATATAGTCATGTTTAATGTTATTGTTGTTGTGTCTATAGAGTTTAGGAGGACCAGATTGGAAAAAAGTTGTAACTTTATCTGTTTATCCTCAATAAATAAAGTGTTATTATTATTATTATTATTATTATAGAATGTCATACATTCGTAAAAATGCTAAATGAGTTAGGACTGGATAATCAACACCAACAATATTGTATCAGAAAAATTATATCTATTGCCATCCGATCAACGTACTACATATTTTGCTGTAGAAATAAAGAATGGACAAATCCCGAACTAATGAACATTTAAAGTAACTATTTCTATAAATAAGTAGCAATTTTTGTATATAAAATTATAACCATGCATGTATAAGTGATTCAAGTAGTCAATTGTAGGTTACCTCAAGAAGTGAGATTTACAATTGTATATATCTATAAATGTTCTATTAATAAAGTTTTCATTATTATTATTATTATTATTATTATTATCATTATTATTATTATGGAAGTTCTTAAAAGTTTCAAATCTGCACAAGAGGACAAGCTTCAAAATCATCTGCTTCTCCAAGGCTCCTTTTTCTCTAACACCACCAAGTTCTCGTTGTCTACACTAAACAACCTATGGTCCAAATCTCAATCCAGCTTGCCAAAAAGCGTCTATAACTTCACCATCCGTTACATCAACAACTCTTCCCACACGCAAAAATCTCACAAAATGGGGAATAATGTCAAACTTGGATTGTTCCCTCTGCCTGAACCCTGAAACCCTTCTGCATGTAGTCGCGGGATACCAGTCATACCTTCCACGATTTACTTGGAAACATGACTCCATTCTCAATTTTGTCGCAAAAATATTCCAACCTGAACACAACTCCACGCTATTTGTTGATCTTCCTGGATACAAGAGCCCATCAATAATAACCGGTGACACTTATCGCCCAGATCTGCTTCTTTCGATTTCAAATGATTGTCTGTACATACTCGAACTCTCTGTCGGATATGAATCCAATCTCCAAAACAACGTCGATCGCAAAAGGGAAAGATACAAGGATCTAATTACGCAGCAGAAAGACCATTTGAAAACTGTCAAATTTATTAATTTGTCTATTACTGCCTTAGGTGTTTTCTCCAAAGAATGTAGCACGTTTATGAAAATGTTGAACGAAGTTGGTCTTGATAAAAAACATCAGAACTTTTGTCTTAATAAGAAAATAATGTCCGTCGCCGACAAAAAAACGTACTATATATTTTGTTGTAGAAACAAGGATTGGACCGATCCGGACTTGATGAATATTTAAGAATGAGCTTTCTCTTAGTTTTATACCTGTAATATAGTTTTATCAATAATTAATAGTTCAAGTAGTCAATTATAAATGACCTTAATTAGTGAGATTTATAATTGTATATACATAAAATGTCAAAATAAAGTTTCCATTATTATCATAACCTGTTGGTAAAACAACCAAAACATCTTCACCATTTTACATTATGGCCGAGATACATTTGAATGTCTCGTCTTTTAACGAATATTCAAGCCCTCTTTTCGCTAGAACAACTTTCATAGCTCTTTCAGTATTTGCCATTGAATATAATTTAATAGTAGTACGATTTAAAACACCTTTAAACGTATAAAAACCCATATTTTTAAAATCGTTATCGTTATCGTCTAACGATAATTTTATCATTTTCGTTGTTGTGTGGACACTAACACAATTTTTTTGACAATTATCGCGTGTTTACAATTTATCGTATCGTTATCGTTGTGTAGTGTGACCGGGCCTTAAGACAACATTACTACATGCTTGTTTTAACCATTAGTGCTAACCGCCAGGTAGCCTGCGAACAGGCTCACGCCAGGGCCTGTTCGCAGGCTAACCGCCAGGCGAACCACAGGCGGCCCAATCTCCTATAATACTTGGCATTACCGGTACCTGAGAAGACCCTCATGAGAAGACCCCAAATGCACGAGAGCGCCCCTACTATATATGGTATAGATGGCCTTATATGTATATACAGTATGTAATATGAACTGTGTAGAATCAACCACAACATACGCACTACAGACGACTCTCAAATATATATACAATATACTATTTTGAATTATTATTTACTGAGTTGGTGACTTTTTCACTTCTCAGTTATAAACTCAGAGTACAGATTGACCATGGCATTATGTTAATTTAACACGAGCAGCCTGTGAATATTGTGGCAGCGACGCAGCGTTATATGCCAGCGTAAATTTCACAAAACGCGCGTGACGGCGCGTCAACAGCAGTATAACTATGGCATAGCTAATGCTAAATAAGAAAGAATAATATAGTTGCTTGAGTGTCTGAAAGATTTCAATTCGTAATTCAATTTGATCTTCTTCGGCAAGACGGCAATTTGATCTTCTTCGGCCTGTCTCCTTGGAATTCATATCAAAACTTCAATCAATAAATGTAGATAGAATTAAATTCCGAAATTTAGGAAATATTACCTGGTAACCGAATAAACAGTATTCAAATTTTAGACTAAACTGATGGCGTAAATTTTCTGTCAAGCCCTATATCTGAACTGATATAGCCATACTAGCTATAGTATAGAGCGCTATAGCATCTGCATGAATAGGCAGAGATTGTTGCATTTTCAGTCATACGTTTTGAAATTTAGGTAATATTACCTAATCACAGAGTAAATTTTAGATTAATTACAGACCAGGGGCCGGTGGTATAAAAAAGTAGGCAGAGATTGTTGCATTGTCGCAATTTCTCTGACATTTTGGAACTATTACCTAATCACCGAGCAAATAGAAACATATTTAAATTTTAGATTCATTCGATGAAAGCTGATAGTTATGTACATTAATCGGCTGGTCAATATTGCATTCAAGCCATATATACGACTATATATAAAGTACTAGCAAGCATCTGCCCTCAAACCAAATGTTCTGAAGTTTAGGAAATATTACCTAATCACTGAGTAAAGAAAACATATTTGAATATATATTGATTGGACGAAAGTTGTTGGTTTATAGGGCTTGAATGCAAATTGGGCTTGGCTGCAATAGCAATGTTTTAGGAAAGCATTGGAAATTGCTATTGGTGGATTTGGCAAAAATACAATACATGCACACGTGACGGTGAAGGAACATATTAATGAATAAACGTTGAATAACATAGATAATGAGTTATATTGATATTTTAATCAGTTTCCAAACCATCTATTCTATTAACTATGTATGTATATAGAGTAGGATACTACCATCTGCATGACCCAAGTAGGCAGAGATTGTTACACTTTCTCAAACGTTTTGAAACTTAGGAAATATTACCTAACCCTTAACCACTGAGTAAAGAAACATATTTAAATTTTAGATTGATTGGATGAAAACTGATGGTTATGTAAATCTGGTCAATATTGCAGCAAAACCCTATATATACCATATATAGAGTACTAGCGTCTGCATGACCCGAGTAGGCAGAGATTGTTACATTTTCTCAAACGTTCTGAAACTTAGGAAATATTACCTAACCACTGAGTAACGAAACATATTTAAATTTTAGACTGATTCGATAAAAGCTGATGGTTATGTAAGTCTGGTCAATATAGCAGCCAAGCCCTATGTATACTATATACAGAGTACTAGCATCTGCATGACCCGAGTAGGCAGAGATTGTTACATTTTCTCAAACGTTCTGAAACTTAGGAAATATTACCTAACCACTGATTAAAGAAACATATTTAAATTTTAGATTGATTGGATAAAAGCTGGTGGTTATGTAAATCTGGTCAATATTGCAGCCAAGCCCCATGTATACTATATATAGAGTACTATAGCTAGCATATGCATGACCCGAGTAGGCAGAGATTGTTACATTTTCTCAAACGTTTTGAAACTTAGGAAATATTACCTAACCACTGAGTAAATAAACATATTTAAATTTTAGACTGATTCGATAAAATCTGAAGGTTATGTAAATCTGGTCAATATTGCAGTGAAGCCCTATATATACGATATATATAGCCATTGGCATCTGAATGACTCGAGTAGGCAGAGAATGTTGCATTTTCTCAATCTTTCTGAAATTTAGTAAATGTTGTAGAATATAACCGAGGTTAAAGAAGCATAGTTATTTCCGCCAATTTAACTGATATATTTTTGTGTAGCAGCAGCAAGGAAAGGGGGGACTGATCAGGCTCCCTTTCCAGCGAAGGGGGGCCTAATTAGTCTCCCATTGATTGTGGTTAGATAGAGATTGTTGCATTTTGTCAATCTCTCTAAAATTAATGAAATATTATGTAAATAGTGAGAGAAAAAAGTGTATTTGAATTTTAGGTTGCTTGGGTGAAAGCTGATGGTTATGTAAATCTGGTCAAATTTGCTATCAAGCCCCACATATACGATATCCCAACGGGCAAAATGACGTTTATCCAACGTTGAATCAACGTTGGAAATGACCTTCCAGACGTTGGATAGACGTTGAAAAAGGGTTGACTATGCAAATTGGATCGACGTTACTGTTTCGACGTTGAAACAACGTTGAAATTAGGTTGCTAATCTCGTCAACCATAATTCAACGTTGAATCCACGTTAAAACAACGTTGAGATTGGTTCACAAATCGACGTCGTACATTTAACCATGAATTCAACGTCTGTTGGCAGCTGTTGAACCAATGTTTGTAAAACAACGTCAGATCGAGCAACGTACATATTAGGTTGTCGACGTCGCAACCTTTTTTCTACCAAATTTCAACGTTGAAACAACGTCGTGTGCCCGGTGGGAAGCTCTATATATACTATATATGGTCATATATATAGAGTACTAGCATCTGCATGACCCGAGTAGGCAGAGATTGTTACATTTTCTCAAACGTTCTGAAACTTAGGAAATATTACCTAACCACTGAGTAACGAAACATATTTAAATTTTAGACTAGTGATTCGATAAAAGCTGATGGTTATGTATGTCTGGTCAATATTGCAGCCAAGCGCTATGTATACTATAAATTACACAGAGTACTAGCATCTGCATGATCCGAGTAGGCAGAGGTTGTGACATTTTCTCAAACGTTCTGAAACTTAGGAAATATTACCTAACCACTGAGTAACGAAACATATTTAAATTTTAGACTGATTCGATAAAAGCTGATGGTTATG